TCCCCCAATTATCTTCCATTCGGTTCATCATTTTCGGATTCAATTCCAATATCTCCGATTGAAGTTTCATTTTTAGAGAATGAATTAAAGTCTTCGTTAGGTGTTCTTGAAATGGCAGCATCAATGGCGCCTTTTAAGCTGACGGAAGGAGCAGTGATGGTGATATGCAAGCGAGAATCGTCGGAAGAGACGTTCCAGCCGGTTGTACAAGTAATTGACTTAAAATTTGTTAACACTACGCAACAATCGGGCAGCGAGAGGTACAGATTGTTGCTTTCTGATGGAACTCATTACCAGCAAGGAATGCTGGGCACTCAGCTCAATGGATTGGTTAAGTCCGGGAAGTTACAGAAAGGTTCCATCGTTCAATTGCGGCAGTATGTTTGTAATCCCGTTCAAGAACGCCTGTAAGTCTTTCTATGAACTGAATCATGAATTTTGATATTTGATTTCCGTGAACTAATTGAGTGCATTCTATTTTGAAGAATATCCACATTTCCCTTTTAAGTTTCTAAATCAAACGAGGCAATTAGATGATGGATGAACTCAACCAACCATACAATATACTTTAGGTCAATCTGGATATTATTCTACATGCTCTTTATGAATTGTTAAATTCAATCACAGAATTATAATCGTCATTGAGTTGGATGTGATAAAGGAAATGTGTGACTTTATTGGCGAGCCTGTTCCAGCAACAAGATCAGTATCAGCCGCATTTAGTGGAAACCCTCAATCCTCTGTGGGGGCTTCATCCGGCAGCGGAATAGTTGGTAATGTGAATGTATCTGGTGCGTCTTTTGAACAGCCTAAAGTGAATCAATCACAAGTACCGCATGTGGGATTTCATTTTAATACTCCTAATTCTGGAACAAGGTTTAATGGTTCATCTCCTGTAACTGGGTCATATGGTGATCAGAAGATGGCATACCACAACAATGGATCGGATATTCCCAGGTCACCTCTAAATGCTTATGCTTATGCCCCTCCTCAGCCAATACATCAGCAGCCACCTTCAATGTACAGTAATAGGGGAGGACCGGTAGCAAAAAATGAAGCTCCCCCAAGGATAATGCCTATTACTGCTCTGAACCCTTACCAAGGAAGGTGGACAATAAAGGCTCGAGTTACTTCGAAAGGAGAACTTAGAGACTACAATAATCCTCGTGGAGATGGGAAAGTGTTTTCATTTGATCTACTTGATGCATACGGTGGAGAAATACGAGCAACATGCTTCGATATGGTAGCTGATCAGTTTTACAACCAGATTGAATCGGGTAACGTATACTTCATTTCTAAAGGAAGCTTGAAACCTGCACAGAAGAACTATAACCATCTCAATAATGACTTTGAAATATTTCTTGAAAACACATCAACAATCCAACCTTGCTTTGAGGATGACCAATCAATCCCCCATCAGCAGTTTCATTTCCATCACATTAGTGAGATTGAGGGCATGGACAGCAACAGTGTTGTAGATGTAATTGGTGTTGTTTCTTCCATTAATCCTGCAACGTCTCTCATGAGAAAAAATGGTACTGAGACTCAGAAGAGATCCCTTCAGTTGAAAGATATGTCTGGCCGAAGTGTTGAATTGACTCTTTGGGGAAACTTTTGTCAAGCAGAAGGGCAAAAATTGCAAAACATGTGCGACTCGGGGTTGTTCCCAGTTTTGGCTGTGAAATCTGGTAGAGTGAGCAACTTCAATGGGAAGGCGGTGGGAACCATTTCAACAAGTCAGCTTTTCGTAGAGCCAGATTTCCCCGAGGCTCGTACATTAAGAGGGTGGTTCGAAAAGGAAGGAAGGAGCACTCCTTCTGTCTCCATATCCAGGGAAGTTGCTACCGTGGGTAGGACAGATGCCCGTCAGACCATATCTCAAATAAAAGATGAGAGGTTAGGAACCTCTGAGAAGCCAGATTGGATCACTGTTAGTGCAACTGTTTCATTCATTAAGGTTGATAATTTCTGTTACACAGCATGTCCTATCATGATCGGGGATCGTCAATGCAGCAAAAAGGTTACAAATAACGGAGATGGAAAATGGAGATGCGACCGGTGTGATCAGTCTGTCGACGAATGTGACTACAGGTACATATTGCAGCTGCAAATACAGGATCATACTGGCTTAACTTGGGTGACAGCATTTCAAGAAGGCGGTGAGGAGATCATGGGCATACCTGCAAAAAGATTGTACTATTTGAAATACGAAGAACAAGATGATGAAAAATTTGCAGAAATCATCCGTAAAGTTCTTTTTACAAAATTTATTATGAAGTTGAAAGTAAAGGAAGAGACTTTTAGTGATGAACAGAGTGAAATCAACGGTCATGAAAGCAGAAAGCATTAACTTTTTGACCGAGTCCAGGTTTCTTCTAGACTTGATGGAAAAGTTCAGGGCAGGGAACACCATACAGAATCCTGGAGTTTTTCGCCCCAGATCGGAGAATATAGGTGGTGGACAGTTCGTGTCACCCATTCGAAATAGTACCGATGTTAGCAGAGAATATGGTACACCGAACCGAGGTGTTCAGTATGGGGACCATCACAACAGTTGTAGGCCTACTCCATCCACACTGCATAACTCGCGCACGTACTGCAACAGCTGTGGGGGATTGGGTCACAGCTCAATGAACTGTCCGAGTATCATCAGCAGCCCTGCGCCATCCGTTGGAGGAGGGATGTACTTAAATCGAGTTTCAGGCTCGTCTGGTCGTGACTCTGGTGAATGCTTCAAATGCCATCAAACCGGGCACTGGGCTAGGGATTGCCCTGGTTTGGCCACTTTCCCTCCAGCTTATGGTAACAGTGGCTTCACAGCTAGGTGATGCTCAGGGAAGTTTATAAATTCTCTGAAAGCCCTTCTTTTTTTTTTTCCTTTCATTAGAAGAGATGTTGTTTTCTTGTACAGCTTTTGCTTGGAAACTGTGTTTTGGATCTTAAGATAATCTGTAAGCATAGTTCCCTTGTGTTGATGGCTGCGTTTATATTTTGATAAGTTATCTTTGTAACACTATTTTAGTTTTCTTTTTTATGTAAATTTGTCTCAGTTTCCCTATGGTATATAGTTTAGTCGCAGTGTATTTCATTCTTTGATCAAATAATAGTAGTTTGGGAAAGGTTTTCTTGTTTGCTTTACAGTTTTTTATCAAGAGCTTAATTCATGAACAGTTGTTTACTTTATGCTGAGCCATCTTTTGTCAAGCCATTTGCTTATCAAAGTTCTTCCCCTACATTTGTCGGAGAGGAGAACAGAACATTTTGTATAAGGGTCTGGAAATCGAATCCTCTCTCCAGAGAGGGGAACGGGGGAACGAAACATTCTTTAAGGGTGTAAAAATTCTTTATAAGGGTGTAGAAACCTCTTCTAAAGAGAGGAGAATGGAACAAAACATTCTTTATAAGAGTGTAGAAACTTATGTTCTTTAAACATTCTTTATAAGGGTGTAGAAACTTATGTTCTTTAAATATTGTTTATAAAGGTGCAGAAACTTATGTTCTTTAAACATTCTTTATAAGGGTGTAGATTATAAGGGTGTAGAAACTTATGTTCTTTAAATATTGTTTATAAAGGTGCAGAAACTTATGTTCTTTAAACATTCTTTATAAGGGTGTAGAAACTTATGTTCTTTAAACATTCTTTATAAGGGTGCAGAAACTTATGTTCAAGGGTGCAGAAACTTATGTTCTTTAAACATTCTTTATAAGGGTGGATAAACTTATGTTCTTTAAACATTCTTATAAGGGTGCAGAAACTTATGTTCTTTAAACATTTTTATAAGGGTGCAGAAACTTATGTTCTTTAAACATTCTTTATAAGGGTGCAGAAACTTATGTTCTCTAAACATTCTTTATAAGGGTGTAGAAACCTCCCCAAAGTGGAACGAAATATTCTTTATAAGGGTGTAGAAAGGTGTAGAAACGTCCCTTCTTTTTCTTTATAAGGGTGTAGAAACGTCCCTTCTTTTTCTTTATAAGGGTGTAGAAATGTCCCTTCTTTTTCTTATAAGGGGGTAGAAACCTCCCTTATTTTTCTTATAAGGGTGTAGAAACCTCCCTTATTTTTCCTAGGTGTAGAAACCTCCCTTTTTCTTTAGAAGGGTGTAGAAACCTCCCTTCTTTTTCTTTATAAGGATGTAGATACCTCTTTATAAGGGTGCAGAAACCTCCCTTCTTTTTCTTTATAAGGATGTAGAAACATCCCTTCTTTTTATTTATAAGGATGTAGAAACCTCCCCTCGTTATAAGGGTGTAGAAGTCTCCCCTCTTTATAAGGGTGTAGAAACCTATAGAGTCTCTTTATAAGGGTGTAGAAACCTATGTTTTTTATAAGGTGTAAAAACCTCATTTCTTTTTCTGTACAAGGGTGTAGAAACCTCCTCAGAGAGGGGAGAGTGAAATGAAACATTCTTTATAAGGTCCCAAAGAGGGAGAGTGGAGCGAAACATTCTTATAGTAGAAACTTCTTTATAAGGGTGTAGAACCCCCCAAGAAGAGAACGAAACCTTCTTTATAAGGGTGTGGAGAAACCTTCTTTATAAGGGAAACCTCATCTTCAGGGAGGGGAACGAAACCCCGAAACCCCCTTCCCTCCAGAGAGGAGAACGAAACATTCTTTATGATAGTCTAAGAAACCTTAGAAACCTCTCCCAACAGATGTTGACGGCGATAAGTAACTGATCAAAGCGAATAATATTGGCTAACGAGAGACTTGGGTTGTTACATATATAATTAAATTTAATCACCTAGTATCGTTTAGCTTCTAAAGTTTTTTTCTTTTTTTTTTTTCTTTTTTTTTTTTGGAAAAAAAATTCAATTTATACTCGATCATAGAAATACCAATATTGAAAGAGCTATTACCAAGATCTTTTCGTCAGATCATAATGCATTCTAATAACGGTCCGTTCCATAATCGGCATCATGCAGCGACTCTGTACTCCCTAGAATGCAACAGGACTTGAGCTGTGTACACCCCATGAACCGAGATAACATTCAGCTAGTCATCAAGAAGGATTTATTTATTTATTTATATTTAGCTAAAGAGTCGCTAATCAAAAGCATAATGCATAACATTATATGATAACCAGCCATCCCAAAAGGTTGAATATCAATTAGATCTACATTTCACAACAGGCCGAGTCCCATAACCGATATCGATGGCACTTCATTATTTTGTAATATGCTTGTATTTATACAAAGTCGCCTTAAGAGCATACATTTGCTGGGGTTGACGTCTGCCTACCATTCTTCTGGAGAGGATCGAACACCCTTCTTTCAACACCACAACGACCACCTACAATGGCATCAACCTGGGTTAACTCATAGCTTGGAGTAGTATCTAGCGTTGGTATAACTGTCGTTGCCTTCCCCTTCTCGGCAATAGCTTTCAGTCGCATACGTTCAGCCCTCGAACCAATAACCTGCCCTAGTATAGAAGCTGCAATGGTCATTGCCATGGCTGTCTTTGGCATCAAGACACATTTCCGAAGCATGCCAATGAAGGGTACAGCTGCATGAATTGCCACAAACCATGAAAATGAAAACTTCTTAGTGTGCTCCCTCCATATACCAAGAGGAACGTTTGCTGCCATGCCTAAGGCCGCAATGACGAGCATTTTTGAAGGAAGCGGTTGAGGACGCAGATTTTTCACGAATGCTGTACGAGCAAGGGCAGCTCGGGCAGCGACTATAGCAGGCGGGCACTTAAGCTTCATACCAGGGGGTGGCTGAAAAGCTGTTGCAACAAGAGGGAGGACTCCGCTAACAGCTCTAAAAGACTTGGCAATTGGGCAGTTCCCTGTTTCCAGCCACTCACTTCCCAGAGCCTCGTGCTTCGATGAACCTCCTTTTTTCTGGAAAACATTCAAGAAACAGAATATGAAATGAATACAGGAAGCAGAAGGCCCATGAGCAAAAGCCTTCCCAACTTTAATCGAGCGAACAACTACAATTCAAATTGAAAATATAGAAATGATCTTGAAGTTGCGTTGTTTCAAGAAAGATCTGACATGGACTTGATTAAACAATGTTGTTTGAACTGTTTGCAAGAAATGAAAATAAAATAAGGATTTTATAAGCATTTTCATCTTCTTCTTTTATTATTATTATCTTTTTATAATATAAAACCAATCTTGAATAAATGAAAAAAAGACAGAAGGATCAAAAAAGGCAAGATGAGAACGCTTTAAAGTCTAGATTTGTGAATGAAAAATGACACCCAAATTACTAGTTGACTAAGAAATCTTTTTGTTTAATGAGAAAATTTACATTAAATTATTGTAAACTTTTACCATTTTAAGGATAACAAACGAAAATATTCATCGATATAGGGTAAAAGTCTTCCAAACATTATAGAATCAGACTATCTCCCACCCACATGCGATATTATCACAAGTTCTAAGTCCCATATTTTCTAGATTTCCTTCATAACCAGGCTAGATTCAAGATTTCTATGCATGTCAAATTCTTGCCCTTTTTTCATGTCCAAAGCTATGCCCCGCCCCGTGCAACAGACGTAACGAAAATCAAATTTTTGTAAGCAAATTGTATTAACTATGAAGTTCAGTCTCCATTGAAGTAGCTACCCCTTACAAAAAGTACTACAGATGATCCAACTTTGTGTATCAAGTTTAAAGCTTAACGAGAATGCGAATCTACCTGTGACGAATGATCTTTCTTGTTGGAAGCCTCAGACTTTTGTTTCTTCCATTTCTCAGAGAAGCTCCCAAAGCTGAATGGCCCTCCCGGTCCGAAAGCCGACAGACTGATGGTTGCAGCTTTTGCTGCCAGGGGGTTGAAATGAGGAGCAGTCTCTGGTTCTGGCAATAAGGTCTCAAAGCTGGATTTCTCAGATAGTGGAACAACCCCATCTTTACCATGAAAGAGCTTAAACGCTGTGTCAAAATTAGGACCATCCTCAAAAATTGGCCCTTTCGCTCCCCGAACCTGAAAATACAAAACGATATAACGACTTTTCTAAAATGGATCTGCCACTGTAAATGTGTAGGGGATAGCAGATAAGGAAGTTACCGGGAAGGTGAAATTCATGGTGGAGAAGGAAAAGCAGGTTGGTTTATTGATATTCCTGAGGAAAGGGCATCTCTGAATGTCCATTTCATTATTAGAGTAGCACTCGGATGACTTATCATTCATTCCTCTGAATATAAAGTCCATTACTGCTTCTCAGTAAGAGTTTTCCTGCAAGCATACGGAGATAAGAAACAGAAGGGAACAGAAAGTAGAAAGGTCAAGATCCACTCTAGGTTAAATAATTATCAACTTCCATGTTTTAAGACACGTAGGGCAAAAGCAAAGTACAAGGGAACTTTATAAGAGATAACAATGCAAATATATCAGTTCATTCATATCATAGCTTCTCTTCAATTTCATTTTGTTTTTATACAATGTGTATATGAGCTATCTTACATGAACCCTAACTAATCTCACACGAAATCGTCTCGTAACGGCCCAAGGCCACTACTAGTACATATTGTCCTCTTTGGGCTCCCCCTCAAAGTTTTTTTAAGTCAAAACCCACAACTAGCAGATATTATCCACTTTGGGCTTTCCCTCAACGTTTTTAAAATCCTTAAAGAATGCTTCGTTCTCTCTCCCTAATCGGTGTGGAATCTAACAATCCACCCTCCCCACTCGTTCCCTTCTTCAATTGACATGAGACCCTCCAATCCATCCTCCCTTAGGGGCCAGCGTCCTTACTAGCACACCACCTTATGTCCACCCCCACTCTCCCCCCTTTCAGAGCCCAGCGTCCTCGCGGGCACTCGTTCCCTTTTTCAATCAATGTGAGACCCCCCAATCCATCCCCCCTTAGGGGACAACGTCCTTGCTGGCACACCGCCTTGTGTCTACCCACCCCTAGCAGATATTGTCCTCTTTGGGCTTTCCCTTTCGGACTTCCCCTCAAGGTTTTGAAAATGTTGTCAACTAGGGAGAGGTTCTCACACCCTTATACAGAATGTTTTGTTCCCCTCCCGAATCGATGTGGGATCTCACACATACATACTAAACTTCCCCTTACTTTGTAGTTTGATCCTATTTCCCCAAGTCGCTACTTATTTCACACGCCCCAATTCCAAAAGGCCAACAAAAGGTAGTTTGTTCTTCCTCATACATTAGATATTAGAATTACATGGTTTTCAATTTCGACGTACACCCACCTTCACGTGGCCAGTGCTGAATCAAACTCGTTCAAACAGAAAAACACATCATAAAGACAATTCTCCGTCACGTCAATCTTCGACAACCAGAGTCCAGAAAAAAGGACAAAGTCAAAGAGAAATTGACAACCATAAATGGTGGCTAATAAATAATCTATAGCTTACAACCAAGCAAGGAACTCCGCGCAAACAAACTCCTGGATGATAGAAGATTTTGAAAACCTTATGCTCCAATTAAACCTTTCAAATAACTAACCAACCACAGAAAATAAGATCTAAACAACTCAATAGCATGTACCGTCGGCACGAACAAGAAGAAAGCCGACGAGTTTCTTCAGCCGTAAAATCAATCACATCATGCTCCCGCAACGAGAGAGTAATTCGTACAAAATTTCAAGACAATCATGGTGATGACATAAAAAACACACACTGAAATTTCATAAGCAGGAGAATTTGGAAGATCATACGAAGCCCTACAAATTGGATTTTCCTTCAGCTTGAAAAATGAAGAAACTACAAAATTAACATCGAAAAACATGGAAAAATCAAGAAAAAAAAAACCCCGAAGCGTTCGAAATGCGATAAAATACCGAAGAAAGTGAGTCTCTTCGAGTGATAGACGCCGGAAAATCGCAGCGAAGAAGAGAGAAGGAGCAAGTTCAGACGTGTGGTCGCCACAAACACGAACTTGGACGAATTTTTCTCTGTTCTAGAATAGCCGCCTGTAGCCAACCACTCCATCAAATTGGCATTTTCCAATAATTGTTCGACCAATGGGTACCGTACGACGCCGTTTTAGCGTTGGAAATTTTCTATATTGGAATTAAATCTTATGCCAACCCAAACTCTCAATTTTATCTCAAATTTTGTCATTTTTAAATATTTTAAAATTAAAATTTGTGGTTATTTTTAAAAACAATTTTTTTTTTTAATTTTAGATTTTTAGTTGAGTATTTTATACCAAATATATAATTTCAAAAGTATTTATATAATTAAGCTAAAAATCGCAAAATATGACACGTGTAATTATATTGTCATTTACTCTTTTGAATATTCACAAAAATTGCATTTTGTCCACAATTTGTGGGGCGGAGATTCTTTGACGTCGATAACCAATGCATTAAATTACAAATTTACCCTTGAACTTTTTTTTTTCTTTTTTTTTTTTTTTTTTTTTTAAA